ATCCCTGTGGCCACCTTCGTTTGATCCCAGCTTGATCCCTGTGGCCACCTTTGTTTGATCCCAGCTTGATCCCTGTGGCCACCTTCGTTTGATCCCAGCTTGATCCCTGTGGCCACCTTTGTTTGATCCCAGCTTGATCCCTGTGGCCACCTTCGTTTGATCCCAGCTTGATCCCTGTGGCCACCTTCGTTTGATCCCAGCTTGATCCCTGTGGCCACCTTCGCTTGATCCCAGCTTGATACCTGCGGCCACCTTCGCTTGATTCCAGCTTGATACCTGCGGCCACCTTTGCTTGATTCCAGCTTGATCCCTGTGGTCACCTTTGATTGATTCCAGCTTGATACCCTTGGTCACCTTCGCTTGATCCCAGCTTGATCCCTGTGGCCACCTTCGCTTGATCCCAGCTTGATCCAGTAGCCGTCTTCGCTCGATCCTAGCTTGATCCCCATGGCCACCGTCGCTCCTATTAGGGCACACTGACGGGATTTATGATGATGATGAACCATGACAGGAGTGTGACACCTGACCTAAAAGCTCACTGCAGGCCCACGTGGCTTTGTGAACCACACATAAATGTGTAATGATATCTCCGTGAGACAGAACGGGGTTGTGCTCACACTCCGATGACATGCTGTGGCCTCCGGATGCTGTGGCCTCATGTGCTTAGTCGTGCTGCATTCTCTTTAAATGATGCAGCAATTTGACGCTGCAGGTAATGACAGTCCTCAGGGACCTTAGAATCACATGGGAGTGGGACAAGCAGATATTTTTTTCAGGCATAACGGGGGGCAGGGCAAGGGTCCTGATGACGGCAGCTGTGAATGTGAAGAATAAAGCGGTTGTTTTGCAATGAGCAGAAGTAAAAATAAACTCAGTGGGTGTGTCTGAGCTGATTGAACCCCGGAGGGTCAGCTAGTGCTCAGAACAGCGTTTTAATCCACGATCCAGTTACTGGATCAGGAATGAGGCACCAGCAAATCCAACCGCCCCATAAAACTGCCTGACAGTCATTCTGAGCCAGGCGTAAGCCACACCCTAGCTGGGGTCCCTCTTGGCATTCCTGCAGTGGGGGGTGGCGCAGGGCAGCTGGAGACCAATAGGAACCTGCAGCTGGTCATATTCACGACGTTCCCATCTGTCTTATCCAGGCGAGTACCTGTTTACTGTGGCCTCTGACGACAACTCGGAATTTTGGCTGAGCCTGGATCACACCCCCATCCGATCTCAGCGTGTGGCCCTCGTGGGCAAGGTGAGTATGCAAATGCGATCCCAAAAGTGCTGAGTCTGTGTACTCACACCTGTCCTGGAGTGGCACCTATCTGCTCAGCCCGTGACAGGATGCGTGTCGAGCGAGGCCCGCTGCCCCGTGATTCCCTGTTCCTCCTCCTGTACCTTTCCTGTGTTGTCACATGACTGTGCGTGAGACACGTGACTGGTTTAGTTGTCTTTCTAAGCTGAGGCAGGTCACACTGTCCCATTTGTACTTCATGAGACGAAATAACACGAAGGATAGACAGAGCGTCGACTGTCATCATGACAACGAGAAGGATGCTTTCTGAAGTTCCTCTCTGTGGGATGTCTGCAGGCAGGCTCGGAATGGGCTGCCCCGGGGGAGTTTGACAAATACGCCAGCCAGGTGTCACGCCCCATCCGGTGAGTTGGCAGCCGTCGGGCCCGCAGCCATAAAACACAGGCAGCTTTAACGGTCTCTGCTTTGGTCAAAGGAAGATGGGGGGGGGGTGGCATAGGGGGTCATGTTGCGGGGAAAGGCAGGGCTGGATTCCTGTTACAGGGAGAGGACCGGGAGCAGCTGCTGGGACACATCCCAGAAACGTCAAGGTGTATTTTTCTTTTTTCTGGGCCCTCGCGTTTTTCCCGCTCGCAGGCTGCGCAGTCTGTAGCGTAGCAAGCAAAATAAACTGGATATGAAGGCATCCTGCAGGCAGAGGTGTGGCTGCAGTGTCTGCCATCACACGCAGTAGAGATGACAGATCTCTCTGTAAACAAGGATGGATTACACACGAGCTGATGGAATGCATTTTGTTATGGCAACAGGAGTGCAGTGATCAGAACCTAAATGAAACCAGTCCAAATTAACAAGGACAAAAAAAGATAACGATCATAATGGCATAAGATAACGAGCGTCCTCGTGAGAGTGAGGCCTCGTGGATACCCTGACCGGAAGTTATGTTGTTGTGTTCCTCTCAGGCTGAGAGCAAAGGAACGCTATTTCTTTGAGGTCCTCCACAAACAGAACGACAAAGGCACGGACCATGTGGAAGTCGCCGTAAGTGATTTCATCTCCCCACCTGCTGTCTTCAGCGTAGCTCACCTTTCAGTCTGCCCTGTATGCCAGCCCGTTTTCTGCTGACCAGAGAACTTCCCAGCATGAAAGTGGGCTTATTGTTCATGCTGAGCTGTGGTATCATATGATGTCCTGAGTAATCCTGTGTTGTGTTGAGGAGGCCACCCTGTATGTGTTGAGTGATGATCAGCAGGTCCTTGCCAATGCCCTTCAGTATGGTGGATTCATGAAGGCTTGCTTTAATGAATGCCTGGTTCTCAGTGTCTCCTGTCACCTTATGCTCATAGCATGAAATTCCTTGTGTATGCTGAGGTTTTGCAGTCAGCGTGTGCCGCATGTCTTGCTGTTGTTTTGAGAAATAGGCTCCAGGGTGCTGGTGAAGCTGCAGAACGCCGTCGGCTGGCAGGCATTTTATGTCTGAGGCTGTCTGTCGGCAGGCTGTTCAGGAAGTGCTGCACCAAACATCTAGAACCTTGGAACCCCACCCCCCCCCCGTGGTCAGGGAATACCTAGTGGCACTGAACCTCCAGCCTGGGGGGTTGATGTCAGGCTCAGTGGATTAGCATGCTGTGCCTGGGCTCCAGCCTGGGGGGTTGATGTCAGGCTCAGTGGATTAGCATGCTGTGCCTGGGCTCCAGCCTGGGGGGTTGATGTCAGGCTCAGTGGATTAGCATGCTGTGCCTGGGCTCCAGCCTGGGGGGTTGATGTCAGGCTCAGTGGATTAGCATGCTGTGCCTGGGCTCCAGCCTGGGGGGTTGATGTCAGGCTCAGTGGATTAGCATGCTGTGCCTGGGCTCCAGCCTGGAGGGTTTCACCGTCGGGTCCTTCAGCAAGGTCTGACCCTGCTTTCTCAAAAACAAATGCATGTCGCTTTAGATAAAAGCAGTTTCCTCCGGGATAATAAAAGTGTTCTGAAAAATAATGTAAATGCGCGGTGCTGGGTCCTGGTGGCAGGGCTCAGTTCCTCGGAGAAACTTTGATGACTTTAAGCTGCGGCCTTGTGAAAGGAACCAGAATCCAAATTAGACGAGCAGAAGGTCAGGAGGCTGCTGGCTGTGACCAAGCGCACAGTATCTGTGAGGTAGCCAGTGTCTGCTCACCTTCAGGCATCAGTTCTAGGCAAGGGGGTTAATGCACAGACTATTGGCGCTTTTCCACTGCATAGTACGGCACGACACGGTTCAGTTCAGCTCACTTTGGTTTGGCTCAGTTTGCATTTCGACTGCAGTTTAGTGCCGCTTTAGAGTGGG